ATAGATTCGACCTGAAAGCTGTTCTGAAGCCACACTCTCCACACATGTAGGGTTTCTCACCAGTGTGTTTGAGCATGTGCTCGTCCAAGTTACCCCTCAAGACAGCAGCATACTCACATTGGTCACATTTGTATGGCTTCTCTTTACTATGTATCTTTACATGTTTTGAAAGGCTTACTGAGGTAAATGTTCTATATCCACATGTTTCACATTGATAGGGTTTCTTCCCACTGTGCTTTGCCATGTGTAAGTCCAGGTGTGCTTTCCTCAGGGCAGCATAGTCACACTGGTTACACTTGTGAGGTTTTTCTCCAGTATGCCTCTTCATATGTGCAGATAGATTGGACCTGAAAGCTGTTCTGAAGCCACACTCTCCACACATGTAGGGTTTCTCACCTGTGTGTTTAAGCATGTGTGACTTCAGGTTACATTTGTTGACTGTTGCATAGTCACACTGGTCACACTTGTGAGGTTTTACTCCTGCATGGATTCTTAGATGTTTAGAAAGGCTGGACCTGACAGCAGTCCTGTATTCACACTTCTGACATCTATAGGGTTTGTCATCTGTGTTTTTGATATGATGCTGCTGCAAGTTCTGTGTCGAGACATCATCAGGCACCTCGCACTGGAAGGGTGTTTCTTTGTGAAGTATCCCACTACTAGTAGCATTATGAGTCAGAAGATCACTTTCTGCTTGATATTCACTTTCTTTCAAGATGAAATGCCTCTGGCTTTCATTAGGTATGCACAATGCAGTCTCTTGACTAGTAGAATTTTCAGCTTCACCTTGTTCCATCTTAGACAATGTATTTGCCCTGCAAATTTGAATTCCTTTCCGATGCTTCAGTACTGCTGGTTCAGTTCATAGAAAACAAATTTCTGACTCTGAAAAACAACAGGAAGCTTTTGCTAATTGCTGGCTTTCATATACTGGACTCACAAGTATAAAAACTGACTAGACTATGTTTTTTTGCCTCTGTAAATTATGCCTTGAAGGCTTTTGAAAACCCACAAAATACTTTATAACATTATGAATTAAGTCACATCCACAGATATTCAAAAGGTGTAACACTAACAGGCCAGGTTCTATAGGAATGTTATAATTACTTGCAGTTCAAAAATTTTCCTGGACCTCGTACTGTACATTTGCGGGTTCGATTGTTATCTTCAATGCGTAATGCACTAGATTATGATCGATCTCCATGCAGAAAAAATGTAATTATAAAGAAAGGAAGTTCACTGACTGATTGTATAAAGTATGACTGTAATTCAGTATAATCTAAATTATTTGAATCTGAATCAATAACCCCTAAAAGTTAAACTAGAGCTATGTGTGTACCGTTATAATTTTGAACAAGCGAAATTCCCAGACCACCGGGCACTGGGAACCAACAGATAACAGCACTAAAAGGTATAACGTTACATAATTTAGAACAGCTAGTAGTAATTTTTAAGTTTTAAGGCCATCGTGGTCATAGGACGTAGTATAAGCTATGTCTGTGAGTATGAACGTTTTAAAACGAGCTGGACTTGTCCTGGGAGGAGAGAGAGTGACATCACAGGCCATGCCTAAGAAGAAAGGTAGCTTGATCTTCTTCATCAACGTACCTCTCAAAAGTGATAAACAACCCTCCACGGTTAGCATTGTATTGATCAATATGAGCTTGGAGTGTAAATAAATGGTCTTACCTGTGTAATTATGATGTTTGAATGATGTCCGAATGATATGGCGATGAGGAAAATCGTACAAAGGAGAGCTAGTGCGGGAGATACTTTTTCACATTGGGCTAAGGGTAGAGGTCGAGAACGAGGCGGAGGTCACTGGAGGTCACCGGAAGTGACGCGTAGGGCTGGACTGCTACTCATATGCTGCAGCAATACCTCAGTTTCGGTAGTGTGGGGAGGGCTACCTGCGTCTTTCCCTCCATTTACGTGCAAAAACGTCAACTTTTACGTCTATATTCACTGCATTTGTGTGGCTCTTACCTCTGGGGACAAGGAAAAGCACAGTTCAGATCATATTTGAGGGGATTTAAGCTCTGGGGACCAGGTAACACTCCATATAACGTTACAAGTAGGTAATGGGGACCAAATTGGTTATCAACGTTATATTTGTGTGGCTCTTACATCT